GTTCATTAAAATTTAATAAAACACACTCAGTTTAATGAATTGTGTGGTGTCTGTTTATGTATAAAATTGTATAGTATAAACGTTATTTCATAAGCTTATGAAGCTGGAAATCAGTGCTAAAACCACTGTATTTTCTGTATCTTCTGTATACCACTTTAACTTGTATTAACACAGGCTTTTTGGTGTTTTTTTTTGGGGGGGGGGGGGGCTAGCTGTATATTTTTATCTTCAAACTACCAACTTGTTTGTTTGCTGCTCAACAAACCAAAACCATTAAAAAATAAAGTCATTACTGTATTAATAAAAGGTGATAATTATTTTTGTTTTGATATTTAGTCCATCTGAAGATACTTTTACATAGACATTTTTGTACTTTACATTTTATGTACAGTATTTGTTTAATGGTGAGAGTGGTAGGATTAGGGGACTAATATTTGGTAGGGTAGAAATCATCTGCAAATTAAGCAATTTTATTTTTGAATACGGTGGTCAACATTTGGAATAGATTACCTTCAGATGTGGTAGATGCAACAGGATTGAGAGAGTTCAAGAGTGATTTTGATGAATAAGTCAGGGCTGGATATAGGCAGATGGGTGTTTGATGAAATGAATGGGACAACCGTGATGGGCCAAAAGACTTCTTGTTGTCCCTCATTCAAGTTTTTTGTTAATTTTATCATACACTCAAATATACAGCGAGAGAAAAGTTTTGATACAACAATCAGTTTCTACATAGAAGAACAAATACATTATTAAAGATGGTTGCTTATTTTTACTGTGGAAATGAGGCAATATACCAACAGTTGGAGGTTGATGTATAAAAGAGACCTGTTACTTTAATTTATTTAAGTTTTTATAATTAGCAGTGCTTTGATCAGAAGTTCTTATTAGTATAGCGATGAGAAACATATGTACAGGTACATATATGTCGACTGGAAGTTGTTGTTTTTTTGAGGAATTTTGATAATGCAAATACATTTAGATTTCAGTAACTTCCTGAAGTCAAACTGATTCACATGTAAATTCCTAGTTCCTCCATGATCAATCTCTAGTCATCAGAGTTTATCCATTGTCTGAGAGTCTTTAAAAGATATTCATTTCAGTCCCTGTCCCCTTAGTAAAATTTTAAATATTTTATAATAAGTCCAAACAAATATAGAATTTTATGCTCTTAAGATTTCAAACTTTAAAAAAATAACATCCTCCACAAAACATGCTTTAAAACGTTTTTTCTCTATAATTTTAAATATAGTGGACATGTTATAAATATCAGTATGTGTCTCAGGTATAAAAGCATTAGTTATGTTTAATTTGTTTTTAAATTAAGCTTTGAAAATTTATTCAAGAATACAGTAATACATTCTACAGTTACCCTCATCAACTTTAGTCTTTGTGGTTGGGCTGTACAGTTTATATAACACTATTGAATAGATAAGTTTATCATTAGAATTTTACATTTTAAATTATTTAAAAAATATCATTATGAAAGGTATTGAAGTGTGTACAATTTTATTTATTTTAGCCAATAATTAATTATGTGGTATTTGGAAACATAAGGTCTCTGGTCATGAGATCACACATAACATTTATTTTAACAATAAAATAGCATGTAAAGTATTCGATGTGAGTCTTTCTTGTTTAATTCTATGATGGTAATTGGGCCAACAGCTAGTGTTTATGTGATCGCTAAGTAAGGTATACTATATTATTTATATATTGTTTTATTTTCTATTATTATACTTTTATTATAGAGATTTCTTTGCATTGTTAGCTTAATGTATGTATTTAGTACTAACCTAAATTTTCTAAGCTTACTGAATCTTGTGATTATTGGGATTACACCCAAAAATACTGTTGACAGTGAAGGTACCCAACTGATGAAACAAGGCATTCTAGTATTTATAAATAGGAACATAAGAAAAGTATACTTAATTAGCCATACTGATTGCCAGGTTTATTTCTAGCTTTGCTTTAAGTACATAGCTTGCTCTGATTGGAAGTTAATATTGATTAATTATTATTTTTACATTATGATAAATCAAAATCCAAGCTATTTAACACTAGTGCCTCTATTAATTCAGAAGGCACGTGTACAGGTAATAGTCTCACTTAACATTCAAAGACAACAATAAACCTTTTAACTCATCTACGTTATCCTATCTGCTAAACTAACTAAACACTAAAAGACTCAAAGCCAGCCATTATCATACAAATAGTTATCAAGTTCTTCCTTAAATTTACTGCATCTACCACGTTTGAAGACAAATCATCCCAAAGGCCAACACCTTGTTAGGATAATATTGCTATCTTAGCTGAAGATGGCTCTTACTCTGATAAAATTAATATTCGTGTACCCAAGCCTTATCAGTCTCACTATTTATTACAAAAAAGATGATACATCAACACTATTAATTCCCTTAACAATCTTAAACACCTTAATCAGATCTCTTCTAACTCTTCTCTTTTTTTCCAGAGAGAATAATTTCACAGATCTTAACCTATCCTTGTATGATAACCTTTTAATCTCACATATCATGATGTAGCACTCTTCTGAACCCTTTACAAAAATGTAATGCCCTTTCTAATGTAAGGAGCTCAAGACTGAACAAAGTACTACAAATGTGGCTTAACCCATAAACTATACAATGACGTTATAACCTCTTTAGTTTTGTATTCAATATTTCTGTAGGTACAACCTGAAATCATATTTGCCCTACCACTAGCAACAGCACATTGATTGGACAACTTATCACCTAGAACACAAAGATAATTTTCTTCCATAACACTGTCAAGGCTATTCCCATCAAATTTATACTTATAATTGAAATTGTGATATTCCACATACATTATCTTGCTTTTATTATAATTAAAAGCCATCTTCTATTTATTCACCAAATACTCCAAATTCTCTTATAAAGCAACAGTATTCTCCTTACAGTCAGCAACACCCAAAACGTTAATATCATCAGCAAGTTTAAATAATTTATTGACCATTCCTTCATCTATATCATTGATGTAAATCAAAAAGAGCAGAGGTTCTAACACTGAACCTAAGGTACCCCAATGTGACATTAATCCAGTTTGGCAAAATATTTATAACAATCCCTTGTTTTCTTCCATCCACCCAGTTTTCTATCCAATGAGCCAATCTATCTCACACACCTACAGAGACAACCTTTCTAACAAGCCTTTTATATGCCACCTTGTCAAATACTTTCTGAAAATCTAGATACACCAAGTCCATACCTGTACCTTCTCCACATAAGTACTCATGTTTGTTTGTTTTTTGCTAAGTCGTATGAACTCTAATGCCATAATATTATTAAGAAGCACAATTTTTACACCTAAACATATGTCCATAATTCACATACAGATTGCAACAAAGAACCCTGGCAATTATAAACTCCTGTTTGTCAGCAAGGATTGTAGTATACATTGTTGTCAGTGTTCATTAGGAAAAGTATTTGGTATTTTGGCATTTAGTGAAAAATACTCAGTATGGTTTTAGAATGATAAGAGCTGGCTTTGAGTGTTTTATTTTTATTTTAGAGTTTAGTATAGTGGATGGGATAGCCTAGATGGATCAACACTAACCTTGTTGTCTTTAAGTTATATGTATATAATATGGTAACCCCTCATTCACTTAGTTATTTATTTAGTTAACATATAAAACATGTTTCTTTTTTCTGAAAGTAATCATAATTTTATTCTAATTTGGGTCCTAGTGTTCTAAGGTTTATTGAACATCTGTTACTTTTAAGCTCACTTTTTTATGGATCTTAACTGAGAATACTTTTATATTTCATTGCTTAGCAATCAACTTTGCAGCAAAATAGCCAATTATAGAAATAAGGTTCAAATAACTATTAATTTTCTTCCCTAAGAGTACACAATAGAATATTTTCATATTTCATTGCTTGGTAAAATAGTTTGCAGCAAAGTCTAGTTCTAGAAATTGGATTCATATAACTGTAATTTTATTCCCTAAGAACACACAATAGAATATATATTTTTTTAGTTAATTAGCAGCTGAGGGATAAAGCTTGGAGAGCTATAATGTCCCTATCAGAATGCTTAAAGCTACACATATGAGGGATCTCATTGTTATTGTGTTTGAAAGAAACAGCATTTGTGAATTAAGTGTAATGAGATAAATTTATCTGCTCCCCTTAAGAAAACATTATCTTTTATTAGAACTGGTAGTGTAAATAGTGTAGCATGCAGACAGATAGAACATTGAACCCTGGACATGTACTGTAAGTAATTATTACCTATATTTGTAGTTTGGAGGTATAAATGAGACTTCCTGTAATATTGATTGATTAATTGATTCATGAAATATTGCACCTGCTCAGTTATTTTTTTCAAATGAAGAATTGATTAAATGTAACATTTCTAAAAATAAAAAAAAGACAAATATGTCAACCAAGTTTTAAACACAAATATTACATGTAATTTAAAAATGCTAACTTGTAGCCAAAATGTTTTATTTATAAACTTAATGAGAGTAAAAATGTTAAAACTACAATGTTCATAGATATAAATATTGTTAATGTGCAAAATTGTTTGTTAACGATGGGTATGATTTTGGATGTTAATGACCAAGTACAGTTTGGTTGGAATTTGATATTTGCTTTTGGGTCCTTTAGGACTTCGTTGATATACTTTAACCTTGTTTTTTTCACATATTTACGAGTTTGAATGATGCATTGATACAGTGCTTCATAATTGTATCTGACATTATCTTTATATAACATATTATTTGCTAAACTTTTACTAGCTTTACACTCAACTTGTTAGTTTAGTAGCTACTATATGCTGTTATGTAGTTTTGAATATAAATAAATCATGATTTTAGGTTTAATATTAGTACAACACTATGTTAATAATCTCTTTGATAAACAAATTTACTAAACTTGGTTGTTCAATAAAGCCATGCTCCATTCCTTCATGAGGACAGCTTTTTATTAATTGAAGTGCAAGGGTAATAATTTCTTTGAATTTATTATTTCCTTTCAACTTTAACCATTTTCTCACATTATGTAATGTTACAGTGTAAGAAAAAATTTCATAGGTAAAAACTAATAAATAAAACTTACTTGAGCACATTTCAAATTTAAAATATGAAGCAAGTCCATTAAGGATTTTGTGCTTCATCACACATGCTAAGACATTGTTAAATTGAGTAGTATTGTGAAAAAATGTTTTTTTAATTTTTACACAGAAGTCAACTTGTATACATCTGTTATATATAATAATAATAATTATGGTACATTGTTTATTTTTCTTTTGTTATAGTTATCAAGCAGAGTGTCATTTAGTAAGGAATGTTTTGATAATTTGCAGTTTGTACATCAACAGAGTTGGTATGAGATTTGTTAGTGCCCAGTATTTTGCATGTACTGTAAGTAAATTTAACTGTTGTTTCATTTTGACAATTTTTTTTATACTTGCACTGATAACAATTTAAGTCTTTCTTTAAAACATTAACAACAAACTGGGTGAGAGAAACTTTTGTATTAACATTGATAAGTCAATTTGTATTGTTCATTTGTTTGGTGTTACTTCTATAATAGAAGAAAAAAAAACATGAAAAAGTATGTGAAAATAATAATCAGTATCACGGTTAGTTTCAGGGTTTTCAGATGTGAAAATATTGGAAAATCGAGACTTGAAATAAAGAAAGAACACCTAAGATGCTGATTTCCTGGCAAGAAGTGATGATTTGATATTACTTTCTGCACATGCTATATATGAAAGCCTTTCACATTACAGTACTTATATAACAATACAAATGTTTGCAATTCCTAGATTCTATAGCCAAAAACTATTTTTACCCAATTTTATATTGTCTGATGCTTTTAAACACAGAAAATGCAGTTTAATTAAGTTAGCTGGAATTTTTATTCATCATTTCTCTACATCTGAGACTGAAGTTCAAAAGTACTTGAAGAAACATGAGAAGTCAGTTTCTTTCTCGTTATGCTCAAGAGTTGACAACAATGCATCTGCAACAATACAGTACTTGGATAGTGAACAGTCAGGTCCTCTAGTTCTTTTCATACATGGTTTGATGAGCGAATTTCAAAGTTTTGGTGATCCATTCATGTCCTTATCAAAAAAAGGAGTACGGGTAGTGGCTCCTAATCTTCCAGGTATGTACTAGAAATAGGTTCATCAAAAATCTTGTTACAAATACCATGTGGATATGCTTCTTTCATGATGCTTTTATAGTGTTAGTAGTGAAAAATACTTTCATGTTTGATGATAAAGGATATACTGCATTGCCTGAATGTTCTTCTAGCAATGTATTTAGTAACAGGTGAATCTGGGTTAGCCATATGACCACCGTGACAGTCAAGGGCAACTGCAGAAAAAAATTAGGGGGGTTAAGTAACTGAAGTTTCCAAAAATTATGAAATCGCTATACAAATACCTTATGATTTTCCAATAACATAGAAGAATAATTTTACATATCTAGTAATTTTTTTTTAGTTAACCCCCCCTTCCGACGGGCGTCCATGGTGACAGTGATATTAGGAATGAGAGGTGTTCTGTATTAACGAAGAATCTTTTTTTCACCATTTATGGTCTTTTTGCTCATTATGTGGTTATAAGAGGTGAATTGGATTAACCAAAGACCTTTCATTCCCTGCTTCTTCATAAGAAACTTTCTATAATGAGTTGCTTGAAAATTGTTTTTTTAGACAAGTTTTAATAGAATTTTTAATTATAGCTTATTGTATCTAATATTTATTTGTTGGCTAAGAAGACTTGTGGAGTGATTTATTATTTGGTTCAAAGAGATTTACTCATCAGTCTTCTCTTTAGACAATTAACCTACAATTTTCTTTATTCATTGAAACAATCATATTTACTGTTTTATAATTTAATAAAATTGTACATCTTTAATATCAAATTAATATCATAACAGTTTTACATTTTCAGACAAACAGAATAATTTTGTTTTATTCAAAACCATGTATGATGTGTTTTTATATAATTTGTAAAGTAATTGTTTGATTGGATTTCTATCTGTGAAACAGATTATTGTGTGCTGTAATAATATATCTGATCTCTGAGAATTCATTCCTCATATGCTGCCTTCCTTATTTGTAGGATATGGTAAAAGTTGGATAAAACCAGCACAATCTTTTAATCACAGTCCTGATGAGATTGCCAGTGTACTTAAGTCATTCTTGGAATGCATTAATATTTCCAGGTAATAATAAGCATTTATGTATAAAAATTGAAACTTAAAAAATATAAACATATGCGCAAGGATATCAATAGATAGATAGAGAGAATGTAGTAAAAGCAATTAAAAGATAACTCTCTGATTCATTGTAACAAAAAAATTTTTTTTTCTTGTGAGTAGACAACATATTTTTATGCTAATTCATATATTCTTGCTAGATATTCAACATAAAAATGAAATTACCTGACCAATACAAGAAAATTTAAAATGTAACCTGTCTGAATGAAACCAAGTTGATATTTCATTGTTTTAGTATGAAACAATTATGAATATTACTGTTTATAATGTGGTATAAAAACTGGGTGAATGCTGTTTAATTGTAAAGATTATGATAAACGAAAAAAGAAGGTACAGTAAAGCTGTAGATGTAAACTTCTCATCTCTGTGAATTTTAAGTTAGTTGAGTAAATTGTTAATGTGTCTTTATAAACTTGGCGATGGGATATATTTTTAACAACAGGGTAGACATGGTGCTGGCTCATAGTGTAGGAATGTTTTCTGCTGTCAACTTGGTAGCAGAGAATCCTCAGTCATTTCGTTCCATGGCACTAATATGCCCAGCTGGTTTAAAACGTGAAGCTTGGGTGTAAGTTTTTTGCTTATACAATAGTTTAATATATATATACTTTAAGCTGTGTAAAGTAATACATTCTTAATCAGTGTTTAATCACTAACTTAGAAGGGACCAAACTTTTAGAGATCGATTCAGTAGGAATAGTTAAATGAGCAATGTGATTAAATGATATCTTTGTTTTAAAATAATATGACAAAATTTGGACTTCACAGTCAAAAAATGTGTTATATGACATTTAACAAAATTTATTTCTACTCTATGCTTGAAATATTGGAAATGGTACAGAATTGTTCCTGCCTGGTGGAGTGGTAAAGTTATCTATACTATTATTATTTTCAAACTAAGTACATTGAATTGTTTAGTCTTACAATTAAAAAATAATTATCATAATTGAGTGTTAGTAAATTTTGTGTGTGTTTGCCCACAGATACATTAAGCCTTATTGGTTGGTTAAAGCAGGAGCATATTGCTTACATAACTCCCTTCTGAGACTTATGGCTCTGCCTTTCCTCCGATGGGGCCACAGACGAGCTAAAGCTGATGTTTCTGATAGCGTAATAGAATCAGATATTCACACCATTGGAAATATAGATTTTCAAAAGGTTTGTAATTTACTTATTATTGCAGTGAAAGTAATATATAAACATTAACAAAGAACACTTAAAAAGTAAATTAATGTACTTGAAATATTAATCTGTTTTTCAGGAATCTCCCAAGGATTTAATGTATGATGTGTATAGATGTAACCTTGCACTGAAGGCAGGGCCATATTAAAGGTAGGGTAGAAGTTGTTGTTTTGCTAGGGCCCCAACCAAAAGAAATTTGGAAAGTTTTATGCATTATATACACTTATTGGGGGCGGGGGGGGGGCAAATGCTCCACCAGCAGGATCTTGAGCAGAATTCTGGTAGCTAGATTTTTCTTCTTCTGTATCCTAAAGCAAGTGTTTCAGAATCTAGACACATGACAAAAGTTACATTTAGGCTCAATTGTAAAACTTTTTGTTAATTTCTGAAACTGTGGGAATAAATTTCAAAACATATTGCTGTATCAGTATGTTGCATTTGATGACATTTGTGAATGATTTTGTGAAATTGTTTTTCTCCATTTTAACTTACTAGTTGTATGGTAGCAGAAAACTGAAATTTTATGTATAATTGAGGAGAGAAGTACAGCTTACTATTTTCAATCAATGCATTTTTTTATTTGGCAGATTTATGAGGATTTGCAGTAAGCATTTTAAGTGTTGATTTTTAGTTTTGGGTTCAATTATGTTTTACATGATTTTAAATGTAAAAAATTTCAGTAAACTACACATAGCCTGTGCTTTAAGGACAAATGTGCACTTCTGTAATTTTTGTTGGTATAGACAGGTGGAAGGTCTTGATTGATAATTTTGGTTTATTAAGAAGCATTGACCATCCCATTGTCCAATTGCTTGAATAGCACTTCAACTGTAACAGAAATGTCACCATATTTTGTCATGATAATAGTTACCAGATGCAGATGTGTCCACTGCGTCTGTCTGAATACTATGCAAAACTGGACTTGTCAGAAAAAATTAATGTACAAAAAAAAGCAGGAGGATGTGATAGTATCTATGATACCCATTGCAGTCATTATATGTTATTGTCTGTAGTGAGAAGTGGCTCCATCTAGATACTCTGCCATTATAGCCTGATGCTATGAAGATAACTTCTGATGGTATTGTGGAACACTTTCCCCTCTCTTCCAACAGTAATGATTGTTTGATTTGGGCCATTCTCCACATTTCTCACAGCATGAAGAGTATTTTGTTTATTTTTAGACACCTGGGCTATGCAGAAACTGGAACTGCTTTTTCACCCTATTTACTGTATTACAAGTGATCTGTGGATTTCTTGCTGACTTTCGCTGTCCTCTAAAAATCCAGTTATGGGACTTTGTGAAACAATATGGTTAATTCCTGAGATTCGTTCATTTGTAGCAGGGCTGTTTTTATTGTGGTCTTTACCGAGTCATATCTGTGTTTTTTCGTTGAGGTTATTTGCATATGACATAATGGAGATGGACAATTTGTATTCTTGAGGTTGTTTATATACTTATCGGCAGGTAGTTACATAGTTTAATTTTTTATACAACAAATCATGTGAATCACACCAGGAGTATTTGATGAAACAGTGAGCTGCTTGACTTCTTCCCGAAAAAAGAAAGTCCCTACATGATCAAAAACATTCAAATTGTAATAATAGTTTGATTTTATTAAAATATACCTTTAAAAGTAAAGTTGATAGCTTGAACAGTTGGAAAGCTTGCAAAATCTGCAAAGTTTCAGCTGCAACTCTAGCTTCAACTATGGGAAAACTTAAAAATTTTGCAGTGTTTAAACTACCACTCTAGTTTGCACTATTGGAAAGCTTGTAAAATCTGCTGTTTGAGCTGCTACTCTAGCATGAACCAATGGAGAGCTAGCAAAATCTGCAAGGTTTAAACTGTCATTCTATAGTTTGCACTAATAGAATGCTAGTAAAGTACTTGTTTAAGTTGCTGCTCTGTAGCTTGAACCATTATGGAGCTACTATAGAAAAAGATGCAAAGTAATATATTAATCAACATTAATTACTTCCTTATAATCAAGTAGGTTTGTTCATAACCAGAGATTCATTGTTAAGAGAAGCATAACTTTGTAACTCAAACCCAGCATAAAATTAATATTAGACATTGAAACGTAAGAGCATGACCTAAAAATATTTGTTGATTGTTAAGAATTACATAGAACACAAACTAAAATAAAGTCAGTTGTTGAATGTTCCGGAAAAACTAGACTGTAAACCTAAAACTAGAAATGAGATTATGAAGTACATTCATAAGCACATTGATAATTGATTTGTATAATGGTTAATGAGATATTGTAAGTAAAAGCAAGATATTTACGGCAATTTTTGGAACTAAAATAGTTTCATTTCTTATGTTCTCTTAAACATGTTGATGATTGATTTTTATATTTGTTAATGATATGTCAACAAATGCAAGGTACATAGATTCTTTTTATAAATGATTAGCTTCTGTTTCTCACTGCATTGTCCAACTTTTGTCACAGGCATCGAAATATGTTGACAGAATTGCTGGAAACAAGACTCCCGTGTTGTTAGCTTTTGGTATGAGAGATCCTTTCATTGAGAGCTATTCATTTTATGATCTTGTTGGTCACTGGGGTCTAACAAAAGAAGATCTTCGTTTTTACAATGATAAGGGAATACTTGAAAATCAGGGTAATACTTTTTTCTCTAAACTATTGATTACTATTTAAGAACATTAAACTCTATCACAGTTTTTGGCAGTAACTATCTTATTCTAAGACTGGCAATGTTGATTTGGAATATGTTGGATTTAGAGGTTCTAAAACAGTTGAATGATAAAGTATTTATAGAGTAGCCTTTGATTAGCATCTTTTTTTTTCCCCATTGATATTGAAATGTCTTAGTTAGTCAGACTTTTACAATTTAGTTATCTGAAATAGCAGGAACATAGTTTTAATTTTTTTGTGTGGAAATAATAAACTAAAATTGATATTTTTTACTTGCAGAAAGTTGCATTACAAGTAGCCACCATCAGGACTATAGAGTTGCTTTAGGCTTTTCCCGTGGTAGCCACAGTATTTTACATAAATATCAGGATCTCCTTGTAGAAATTATGTTGGATATGTTGAACTCTGTCAGCAAACAGGACAGTGTTTCTAACGACAGATGCTATAAACAGTGAATGAAGTTTCTTCAGAAGCTAGGCTATTTGAAAAATAATTTGATGGCTTTGGTTAGTGAGATAGAAATGAATCACTACAGTTCTTGAATATTACTGACACTAGTGGTTATAAAAACAAAGTGAAAATTATTCATTATACTTTGTTACATAATTTTCTTATCAACAAAAAAAAATGGCACCTCTTTTAGTATCATAATTAAAAAATGTATAAGTAAGCCTAAATAATTAAATATCCACACATTGGTCAGTCCTTGTGATCACTTATAAAAAGTTATAAATAGAGAGATGACAAGATTGAGAAAATTTACTGACCTTGCTTGATCTTTGCCCTCTTTATTTTAGGTTTATGTGCATTTACTTAGAAGTGACTATATATATATACATATATCTTAAGATATAGACTACAAGGGACCATTTGTTCCTTCGAGGCTGTCCCTGCATACCCACCCATGAGAAAAAAATCATAACTTAAACCTATCCTTTATTTTCAGGAAATTATCAGTTCCCCCCTTTTAACATCCTGTGAAGTGTTGGCCTCCACTGCTGCAGGTTAGGAGAATAAAATTATCTTAACTGGAATCCAGCCTGCTTTTTACAAATCTTAAAACTTGTGTCCTCTTCACATATTGTTTTCAGAATATAGAACAAAGAAATCACAGGTTTTTTATTGTTTTGATCCTACACATAATCAGTAAACATACACACACATAACTATTTCTGAGCTCGTAGCAACTTTGAAGCATTCTATAGTTACTATTGAAAATCTACTTTTTGATGTTCTACTAATGACAATAAGAAAATGCAAGACGTAAGTCACTGTAATTTTGAAAGTTCAATGTATTGGTTTATTTGATGCATTTTACTTATGCTGTGATTTTTATAATTTCAAACAAGGACGTGAATCAAAAAGATCAATAAAAGAGAATATTTTTAATATCAAATTGTACATTTTTTCTCTTCATTTGTGTACACATATCTATTTGTGAAAAGTACTTGCAAGTTTTACAACGAAAAGCCCACAAATATCCCCATAAATCTAAGCTTAAATACACTACTGCTTATCCAGTCATAACAAAATATGCAGTATGTCAACAAGTTTTGTTTTTGAAATAACACAGAAAATATGCACTTTTTGCAAGAACAGCAGCTACATGTTATCCTTCCCAGGATATGTTCTAAATTCAGTAACATCTGCATATTGTTACCCTTCCTAGAATATATTCTCAATTCAGTGTTCAACAGTAGCTACATGTTGTTATCCTTCCAGGATATGTTCTAAATCCAGTAACATCTGCATATTGTTACCCTTCCTAGAATACATTCTCAATTCAGTGTTCAACAGTAGCTACATGTTGTTATCCTTCCCAGGATATGTTCTAAATCCAGTAACATCTGCATATTGTTACCCTTCCTAGAGTATATTCTCAATTCAGTGTTCAACAACAGCTAGATGTTGTTATCCTTCTCAACAAGAGATCTAGTAATTGTGCAAATTAGTAATTTTCAAAAATAATTTAGACATTTGTCGGTTTCTCTACTGGATCTAGTTCTGACAAGTGATGAACATTGGAATCTAGTTTTAGTTTGGAAATCATACTTTTATTGTATCTTACATTCAGGATGTCTTTGATAAAATGTAGTTTCCTTAGGCTCTATTATATTTAAGATCTCATTTTGTTTGGGGTTTATACAATATTTTGAAGACTTGTACTAATTGTGTGTATTATTGCTTTGTTACAAATTCTGTATCAAAACAATAATATTTGCAACATACAACCATCACATATAAATTTTAAATCTTATAACTAGATATATTGAGAATTTATGAATATCCCAAGGAGGATAATAGTCATCTTTTTGAAAGTCCAACAGAGAATTAGTGTTAAATCTCATAATGATACAAGCGTTTGAATGTAGATAATATTGTGCCATATGAATATCTGTCGTTATTGAATACTTCAGTACTAAACTACTATGGTTCTCTGTGTTTTAGTTATATCAGGCTATAATTTGTTGTTGTTCTTCATGTGTATCAGGAAGTTTTTTTCTCTTGTTACTACCGTAGTTATGTGATATACATCAGACTATTTTTGGGTTATTTATTACTGTTTTAGTCACGTGTTTGTATATCAGGCTGTATTTTCTCCTGTCGCTAATAGAGTTCACTGTGAAACAAGCAATATATTTTGCCTTTTCATGATGTGGTTCGCTGTATATGAGGTTATATTTCTTCCTGTTTTTAACATGATTCTTTATATACTAGGCTTTATTTTCTTTTATTGTTAATATTGTTCACATTATACCAGGTTATATAATTTTCATGTTTTTAATATAACTGTATATCAGAATTTATTCTCTGTCATTAACCTGGTTCAGTGTATATTTAGCTATATTTTTTCATGTTGTTAATATGATTCTTTGTGTGGGTGTTTTGGTCTTTTCCAGCTCTCTTTGTTGTTTTTTGTTTATTAAGGTATATTTTTTGTTCATTGTCCAAGTTCTGTGTTTTCCTATAACATTATATTATTTATTGTTTTTACTGTGGTTTTTGTGTATATGATGCTGTATTTTCCCTCTTAGCCATATTGTTTCTATCTGTACACATTAAGCCAGATTTTTTCTTCATGCTGCTATAGTTCTCTGTGTATGTTTATCAAGCTATATTTTTTCTTGTTGCTACTATGGTTCTTGTATATATTTTTTTCTGTTGTTAATATGTTTATTCATGGCAGTTCTGAACTTTGCAGCTTTTTCCTTAATTGCAGAATTCATTTATGACTGTTGGATGATAAGCATCTTTTATAACTGGAGAATGATTAACCATTCCTGTTTAACATGCTAAGCACAATATTATTTCTGAAGTATTCCAAAATTAAAAAGTAACTTAATAAAATCTGGGTTCTTGTTCAGTCTGGTTTTTTATGTCAGTGAAATAGTTGGTGATGTATATTGTTGTTAATGCTATTCTTAATCATATACAGTTCTATAATGTATCGAGGAATTTCGAAAGTAAAATGTTTTTATAAAACTGCATTTTGTTCATGTTAAGACTTGTTGGATGTCACTCAGTGTGTTAACTTAGATGTAAGAGATACATTCATTTTCTACATTACTTTGGGTCTTAATATACATTACAGACAAAAAAAACAGGAAACGTTTAGTATGAAGAGTACTAACCAACTTTGTAGGAGGAATATGCTTTAATATTTACTTCTTTGAAGTTAATTATTACTCTATTAATTTACTTGGTGGGATCTTCATTATATAATTAAACTTGTAATAAGATCTGGGAAATTAAATTTCAAAGCATTGAAAACCTTGTTATTTCAGAACAAACTGTTGTTCTGACATAGTTTGTGTGTTGACCACCCTAGAAAAACAGTACCCCAACTTTTGTCTTCAAATTTGAATGCCCCCCCCACCAGTGGCACAGCAGTATGTCTGCAGACTTACAACACTAGAATCCGGGTTTCGATACCCGTGGTGGGCAGAGGACAAATAGCCCATTGTGTAGCTTTGTGTTTAATTACAAACAATCAAATTTGAACAATTAATAAGTTAACTAATTTAATTTTCGTTATTATTTCCACATAATTATCTGATAGTGTTACCTGGTAGTGGTAGGTAGAGGTTTTTCGATGTAACTTCTGACTGTTGGAAAAATTGGCAAACAAAAGGACATATAGAAGTTAGTTTTGGTGTATCTGGATTCATTATAGAAAAGTTGTGAACTCTTACTAGTCTACATTAGATAACTTGGACAAAGTTGTGGAAGGCTGATTATGCTTGATGATGACTGTAATCTTTATAAGGTGGTTATTATAAATCGCCAGTACATATGCAGTTGAGATGAATATTAGTGATCAAATAGTGAGGAACAGACTTCGTGAATACATCTTAAAGTTGTAAAAACAAACAAATTTGTTTTGGGCCAGCAGTTGACTACACAGTTTGTTTGGACTGTAATTAAAATCATCAGAACTGCATGGCAGAAGCAAAGTTGAGACCTTGTATTATTCTTCTACATGGTTATTTACATATTAATAGTATTGGTTGTTTTAAATAAGTTTAATAATGATAATAATAATAAATATTGTTTCTCATTGTTAACTTAGTTTAGAACTAACCTAAACCTACAGAGCTGGTACTGGTAGAGCCACGTATAACTTTTACAACGATGTGGTAATTCCTACTTGGACATTGGCCTAAACTTGTGATAATTCTATCACAGTGATAGCTATGATATCTGCTTTTATGTATTTTTATTATTTCGGATTTTATTTTTAATATTTATTATTTTACAATAATGATTATTCTGTATTGTACTAATTGAAGTTTATAATTTTTTATCATAAAAAGTTGTATCACATTTTTAGATTACTTTACAGATTTAGAGCTAATCTAGTGCTACTAACCTGGCCTAGCCAACTATAATCACGGTTTATTTTTGGACATCGACCTTAACAAGTGAATAGAATGTTTAATATATCTACTTTCATTTTTAACTGTTTCTGATTAAATTTTTTTTATCAATTATTCTGCATTGTTAGCTCAGAAAATAACCTAACGTCCTAGGCTGGTCGAATCTCGTGAGATATATTGGTCTACAACGGAAAATATCGTTAATAGTGAGAGTAGCAAACAGATAAAACAACGCATTCTGGTAATTTTAAGTAATATAGTTTGAACAATATAGAATTAGCTATGTTTACTGCAAGGTACATATGTTTAGTTCTGACCTAATTTGGTAACTTGCTTTAATCTGAGTCTACGGGCGACCCCGGAAAATGAGAAACATTTATTTCTTTATTCATTCATTGTATATATATATATATATTGTTACGACAGTGGGGTCACGTGATGAATATTCT